AGGCATCGATGTGAATTCATTATTTTTTAAATCAATATGTATATGTATGTATATGTGTGTGTGTGTGTATATGTGCGCACATGTATGTGTATGTATGAACATATATGCATATATTGATGTGTCTATATGTATATCTCCTAATATCTCTGTCCAACAAAAAGGCTAAGAAGCAGAGAGCAGTGAACACAACTAACTCCCGAATCTTGGTCTGTAATACTACTCCCAACACAAAGGAACCAGAGTTCCTCAGAAAAGTGGCTGATTCAAGGCCTGGGCAGGGTACATATGAGATGAACTTGTATTTTTTTTTTTTATGCTAGAAAAAAAAGAAAATGTTTTTTAAAAAACAGGAGCATGTCACGAGAAGCCTGTCGGGTCTCTGCTGGCCAAATCTGGTATAATTTGATCGTCAAATAAGTGTAATAATGAATTAAGAACCATTAAAAATAAGAATTCATTATCCATAATGATAATGAACTGATAAATAAATGAATAAATTGAGAAGGGAAGTCTCTGGCTAATGGTAGAATTCTGAGTTCTGGGGTTGGAAAATCGTCATTTTTGCAGCCATCATAGTAAAGATTAGACAGTGTAAGAATCCTAACAAAATTGAGGGGAAATAGTGATGAGGAGCAGGATATTCCTGTGGTCTTAAAGTGTCTCCCCACAGACTACATATTATTTGCAAGGTATAAAACAGGGATTAAATGTTGGTGAAATCCAACAACATGGGGCAGGTGGATACCATGTGACACTCCAAGGGGACACATTGTCATCTATGTATTATGCTGGCCAAGACTGCATAAACTGAATCTAATCGTGAAGATACATCAGACAAACCCCAAATGAGGAACATTCTACTTAATAGAAAGGGGAGGGCACCGTGTTCTTCAGAAAAAACAGTGTCATAAAGACAAAGGATGGCTGTGGAAGTGTTCCAAATTAAAGGAGGTTTGAGAGAGAGAACTGCTAACTGTAATACCTCACCCTAGACTGGATCCTCTACTGGAGGGGGGAAAAATACTATAAAGGATATTTTTGGATCAGTTGAAAAGAAAACGGAATATGGATGATCGAGTAAATTCAAATATTGTAACAGTGTTCAAATTACTGAAGCTAACTGCACTGTGGTTATGTGAGAGGATTTCTCTCTTCTCGGGAAATGCACGTTGAAGCAGAGGAGCAAAGGGCCAGGATGTACATGATTATCCTCAGGTGCTTTAGGAAAAAATTACCGTGAATTGTGTGTTTGTGTGTGTGAGTGGAAAGAAGGTGCAAGAGGGCACATGAGCACAAGTGAGAAAACAAAGGAGGTAACATTAACAATTGGTGACTTTGGGTATACAGGTAGTTTTATATTCTCATACTTGCAACTTTTCTGTAAGTTTGAAATTATTTCCAAACAAAATATTTAACTTTCAGAAATATCTACCATTTCTTTTTAGGCTCTCCTTATTTATAAAGACTTTGGTTCCTTGTCTGGAACCAGTTTGGAATGAACATTTTTATAATATTTTCCTGTGTGTTGGTGTTGTGGCTCTGCAAACCAACCATTGTTCAGTGTGACTGCAGTTAGTGGAAAATAAATGAGTCACCCTGTGGATGGCTGGAGTCTAAAACCTAATTTGGGGGGGCACTATTTAGTATAATGATTACTGTATGTTTATGGAAGTATTAGCTACACCATCTACTGAAGTCTTCAGAGTTATTATCAGTTGCAGAAATATTAGAATGATTATTTTACATCAGGAATCTAGCTGTTACCCCTGCTTATTTAGATTATCTTGTTTTATAAACTCAGAAGGACTGTCATTTTACCCCTAAGAGGGTAACTATTCATTTGTTCATTCAAAAAAATGTTTATTGAGTGCCTACTATGTGCCAGACCCCTTTCTATACATTGAAGACGTAGCACCAAACAAAACAAAGCTCTCGCCCTCATAGATTTTATGTTTTTGTAAGTGAAGTAAGTGAATGCTAGTAACATTGGAGAAAAATAAGTCAAGGAAGTGGGTTAGGGATGCCGGGAACAGAATTGTTACAGTTTAAATAGAGTAGATGCGAAAGACTTAACCCAGGAAACATTTGAGCAAAGATCTGAAGATAGGGAGTGTGGCATGCAGAGATAATCATCTCTTGGGAGAACATCTAGGCAGAGAGAACAGCCAGTCTGAAGGCTTGCAGGCGGGAATATGCCTAGCCCGTGTGAGGAAAAGGCAAGGAGGTCAGTAGGAAACGAGGTCGGAGGAAAGAGGGCCAAATTACTACATAGGTTCTTTTGTGCTACTTTAAAGATTTTGGCATTTACTCTGAGATGTGAAGCCGTTCGGAGATTTTGGGCACAGATGTTACGTTATATGATTTATATAAAATTTGATGAGAAAGGACTGAAATAGGACAAGGGTAGAAGTTGGGAGGCCAGTTACTAAACCATGGCAAAAATCCAAGTGAGACGTGATCGTTACTATTCTGGTCAAAGTCTCTATGTAGGTGATGAGAAGTGGTCAGATTCTGGGTGTATTTTGTAGATAGAGCCAATAATATTTGCTGATAGGTTAGAGAGAGGGTAGAACTTGAACTTTAGTGATCAGTAAGAAGAGCAGAAACAAGCAAAGGAGGCTGGGAAGGAATGGCCAGTGAGATAGGATTAAACCAGGAGAGTCTTTGTTCTGGAAGCCAGGTAAAGAAAGTGTCTCGGGGCTTGAAGAGTCATGTCAGATGCTGCAGGTAGGTCAAGAAAGATGAGGACTGACTGGCCTTTGGATTTAACAGTATGTAAGTAATTGGTGACCTTCAAATTTCAGTGGGGTGGGGAGCAAAAGTCTAATTGGAGTATGTTCAAGTTGAAGAATACTTGAAGACAAAGAGTAGGGACAACTCTTCTGTGATGTTCTGCTGAAAAAGGAATCAAAGAAATTGGCCATAACCTAGAGGCATGTGTGGGGGTCAAAAAGTTTGTTGTTGTTTGCTTTCTAATGAGTGGAAATATGGTGTATATATATATATATATATATATATATATATATATATATATACTAATGGTTTTGCTTTATTGGGAGGAAGAAATTAGGAAATTCATGACGTAGGAGAGAGAAGTGAGACTTAATTAGAGCATGTCTTTGAATAGTAGGACTATAACATCTAATATAAAAGTGCAGGGGTCCTGGAAAGTTCAAGCACAGGAGAGGGCACAGACTTAGGTAAGTAGGCGAGCGTGGTTCTGGAAGCTGTCTTCTGAGTGCTTGCGTAGGAGCCAAGGCCGGCATGCAGAGGGATTCAGATTTTAGGTGGCCTTTGATTTTGTTCCTGCATGATGCTGTTCATCATCTGCCAGGAGGCCTGAGAAGTCGTGGGAGGGCTATAGCCCTGCTTGTTAAAATGTTTTTCAGACATTTAGTTTTTTGTTACTCTTCAGCCTGTCTAATTTGTATGACATTTGGGAAGAGATTCTTAAAACTCTTTTGGAACTATGTGGAAAAATTTTTTTTTCTCATTGATCTTCAAGCCAAAGAATGTGATTTAATGGCCCTAAAAATTTACCCAGCACAATTTTCATGTTAGGTGTTAAGAAAACCAACTTGAAGACATAGTTAGTTAGGCCAAGGAGGTACAGCTAGTTGTCCAGCCAAGTCTGGAATCCAGGGCTCTGTGATGTTCTAATTTACATAATTTGGTTTTGAAATTCAGTTTTCATACCTATGTGCATGTACATTCAAACTCACGCCATTGACAATGTAACTGACTTAGTCTAAATTGGAGGCAAGCAAAGCATGGAATAAAAAACATGTAAAATGTAAGGGTCAAAATGAGAACTCTGTCTAAATGGTGATTTAAATTGTGATTTTTGTAAAACTCATACCTGAAATTATATTATATTCCATATTGCAATTAGAATGCACTGAAATCATATCAAAGCATTTGCCCTTGGCTGAATTTATATTAAAATAAAAGATTATAAAATAAGATTAATTATACACTAGTTTAGATGTCTGATACTTTAAGACATCTGTAGATTGCGTTAATATTCAAAAATGGATTGAGAAAAACCTTGATACTCTAGCTTGCTGTTTGCAGTTCTGTTTGGCTGCCTCCTGTTTCTGCTTTTGCTTCTTTATCTCAACACTTGCCTGTACCTGGTAATTCAAAATGGATAAAACCAAATCATCAGCATCCAAAATACATGTAAAATTTCTATGAAATAATAAGTAAATGGTAAATAACTGAGGAGGAAGTGGGGAAAACATATGAATAGGCATTTCGTAAAAAAGGAAACATGAGTTAGGCAATAAACCTGAAGAAATGCTCAGTATCATCAATCAACAGGAAAATGCAAATTAGGATCACAATTAGATGACATTTTACACCCCAAAGTTAAGAAGTTGGCATTACTAAATGTTGGAGAGGATGTGGATCTATATGAACTACCCGTTGCTGGTGGGGTTATAAATTGCTGGACACACTTTGGGGAAAATAAAAATTGGCATCCTTATGAAAAATCGAACAGAGACATATTCCTCAGCTCCTAGGCACATACTTAAGAGAATTTTTGGCACGAGTGGAACAGGCGATGTGTATGAGAACTTTCATAACAGTAATGTTCATAATAGCAGCAACAACAAACCTGGGGGGAAAATAAGATGCTACCATAAAGAGAATGAATAATTCAGTTGTGGTACATTTACATAATGCAGAATTCTACAGTGAAAATGAATGAATTGCAACTACACACAACACTGTGGACGAATCTTGAAAACATAATATTGAATGACAAAATCAAACCCTAGAAGACAGAAGGTGTTTAATGCCATTTTTACAGAAGTTAAAAACAAATAAAATGAAACACTATATCTTATGGAGGGGTATGTACATAATGTGATATACTTTTTAAAAAGCAAACGAATGATAAACACAAAATATAGGGTAGCGGTTCCAGGGGACAGAAGGGATGGGAGAGCTGGGATAATGGGATAGGGAGGAGCAAATCGCTGGACCATTGCCAATAACTTAGATTTGAGTTCTTGAGTTGGGTGGCAGGTACGTGGATGTTCATTCTATTATTTTGCTTTGACTTTAAAACGTGTTGCAAATAACTGTTGTATGTAACAATTAATATATTTAAAAATAGCAAAGGCATATTCTGGAGTCAGAGTTTGGGAGACATGTCATCACTTCTGCCCACACCCTCACTGCCACTTGAGCTCCTAATGTCACTCAGTATTTCACTAGAGGTCTCTTGTTTTAAAGTCTTCTGTCTGATTAAGCCTTTGTCTGCCATCAGAGAAGTAAGTCACTCAGGAACAACTTGTTGGATGAATAACTGAGTGAATCGTTTGGGAGAATAATTTGAGATTTTTCTTAGAAACCACCTAAGAATTAGATTTTTAGAAATACTTTTCCTTCTACTTCTACCTGGGTTCTTATAAGAAGTGAGATAGACAGCAAAACTAGGTTACTGGTGCATAAGTTTTTGAATGATAATTAACTGTGTATTTGAAGGCAATATTATTGATTGTTTGAACTATCGTAATAATATGATCAAAGAGATTAACAAATGTATGGCAAAAACAAATAGTTGATAAGAAAAGCAGAATGTTGCTACAGATGAAGCTATTCTTAGGTATAACGTTTTAGAGTTAGAAGGCCCATGGGAATTAGTCCAAGCTCCTCATTTTTGAATAAAGGAGCTCTTGGACCCAAGAAGTAATTGATTAAGATCATAGAACTTGTGGAGAGCAGAGTGAAGAAAGAACAGAACCTACATCTCATGATTCGTGTACTAGTGTTTTCATATTGAAATAAGGAATGGTAAATAAAAGAAACATTTCGATATATAAGGCATGCTAAATAACTCAAGGTTGGATTATAACCATTGAGTGAGGAATCAGTGTTTTCTGATTTTATTTTAGAACAAATCAGTTCAGCTTTACACCACGTTTATCTTTAGATGCTTGGTGACTACACCTAGAGAAATAACATGTTTTTTTTTTGTCTTTTTTACTCAAATTTGGTTCTCCAAAAAGAGACATTGTGTTTGATGTACAAATGCATACTGGAGTGGAAGTGGGAAGAATTAGGTTCTGAATGTGGCTCTGCCACTAAACAGCTGTGTTGTCACTGATTCTTTCCATAACTTGTCCCAGTCTCATTTTCCTCACCAGTAAAATGGAGATGCTGAACCACGTGGTCTGTAGAGACCAGCTTTAAATGACTATATTCTTCGTGGATTTTGAATAGCACATTTTATCTATCTTATTAAGTGTTGTCATGTGTTCCACTATTAAACCATTAGCCACAAATAAGGAGATAAAGAGAGAATCAATAGAAAATGAATGACTCATGATACTAAAACATATTCTGAAAATAAACTGGGTTTTCCTTCTTTTGCATTCATCACAGGTGTAATACTTCTCCACATCTGCTTCAGGAAGAAAGTGCCTGCCACTCCTACTGTTTCTACGCAGGTTCATGCCAGCCCAGAACAGAGAATCAGGTCAGTGTTAGGATTATTTGGTCTGTTGAACAAGGAGCTAGAAAAGAATCATGCTAGTCTTTGGCACATTGTTGCATTGTAGCGAGACCACTGAACTTTGACTCAAAAGGGCTGGTTTTAATCCTCCTTTTCCACTGACGGCTGGGTAACTTGGGCAAGCTGCCTCTTCTGGATGGCTTTTAGTTTTCTGCACCAAAAAAGGGATACATTAGAGTAGATTATTTTCAGTTTCAGTTCTGACTTTAAAGCGTCATTACTTTTATTATGGGTCCTACGTACAATGAAATCATGGGTTTTTTTTTTAAAAGATTGGCACCTGGGCTAACATCTGTTGCCAATCTTCTTTTTTTGTTTCGTTTTTCTTCTTCTTTTTCCCAAAGTTCCCCAGTACATAGTTGTATATTCTAGTTGTGAGTGCCTCTGGTTGTGCTATGTGGGACGCCACCTCAGCATGGCTTGATGAGCAGTGCTGGGTCTGCACCCAGGATGCGGACCGGTGAAGCCTTGGCCCGCCAAAGCAGAGCACATGATCTTAACCACTGGGCCACAGGAATGGCCCCTAAAATCATGGCTTTTTAAAAAAAAAAATTTTATTGAGGTTATTATAGTTTATGACATTGTGAAATTTCAGTTGTGCATTATTATTTGTCAGTCATCTTATAGGTGTGCCCTTTCACCCTTTGTGCCTACCACCCCAACTCTCTTCCCTCTGGTAACTACTAATCTATTCTCTTTGTCCATGTGTTTGTTTATGTTCCACATATAAGTGGAATCATACAGAATTTGTCTTTCTCTATCTGGCTTACCTTAGGGTCCGTCCATGTAGTGAATGGGGCGATTTTATCATTTACGGCTGAGTGGTATTCCATTGTGTGTGTGTGTGTGTGTGTGTGTGTGTGTGTGTGTACACACCATATCTTCTTTATCCAGTCATCAGTCAGTGGTCACTTAGGTTGCTTCTGTGTCATGGCTATTGTGAATAATGCTGCAGTGAACATAGGGGTACACGAATCTCTTTGAATTGTTGATAAAGTCATGTTTTTAGTGCATCATTTTCTTTTGTTTTCTTTTCTTTTTCCTGGCAGAATCTAGTTGTAAGCACAGGCTTTGGAGCTCTTTGATCCACTGTGTTGTAGTTACTTTGAGTGATGGGTTTGAATGATGTACTATGTTGTGAGGCCCTTGAGAGTACTGTCGCTCCCTAGTTACCTTATTTTTACTATTTACTTTGCTTTATTGTTGCTGAAAAGTTTATTTTTTACATGAGGTTATTAGTCCTTCAATACTGTTCTTCAGCTTTAGAGAGGGTACCTTTTTGAGCATGTTTGTTCTCTGTTGATTGCAAGTGACTCAATTCAAATTAGCTTAAGCAAAAAGGGGAAGTTTTCAGCCTTTTGAGTATGTCCCAAGAGACACCAAGGAATAAAGGGACAGAAAAGCAACGGGAATGTCCAGGGAGAGCCCAGAAGTAAATGGCGTCAGGTTCCCTCAGGCTCTCTGCCCAGTGCCCCCCCTGCGCATCCTCCTTCCCTCTGTGGACCGGCTTTCTTCACATTGCCGTTCTTTGTTGTGGGGAGCGTGGTCCCAGCACCTCCCACACTTTATATCTCATAAGGCAGGCTCCCAAAGAAAGTCTGAATCTCAAGTTCCCAGACCCGTATTTCCCAGAGCAGGCTCAGACTCTTCAGTCAGGTGCCCTGGACACGTTGTGACTTAGGGCAGTGTCGTTTTAGTACTTTCAGTGGCTGTCTTGCCATCTTTATTTCAAAGCCTGTTCTCTGAAAGGGATCTAATTCTGCTAAAAAGCAGATGACTGATAACGTAATATTACTCCTTCCAAGTGTGTTTTTATTTTAATAAGGATCGTTCATTAAGCCAAAGCTATATTTCCCAAACTGTGTAGAAGTGAAATCTTGTGTTCTGGTATATAAAAATGATTAACATAGATACAAAAAAGGCATTACAGGGGCTGGCCTGGTATAGTGGTTAAGTTCGCACTTTTCACTTCCGTGGCCCGGGGTTCACCAGCTCAGATCTTGGGTGCAGACGTGGCACCACTTGGCAAGCCATGCTGTGGTATGTGTCCCACATATAAAGTAGAGGAAGATGGGCACAGATGTTAGCTCAGGGCCAGTCTTCCTCAGCAAAAAGAGGAGGATTGGCAACAGTTAGATCAGGGCTAATCTTCCTTAAAAAAGAAAAAGAAAAAGAAAAAAAAGCATTACAAATTGAAAGGCAGCATCTTAGGGTTGAGGGAATGGAGAAAAATGAATAATCATGTTTGTGTGGTTAGAGGAAGAGGGCAGATAGGTAATCAAATATCTATTTCTAAGGTAGCAATGTCACAAAGATTGAATATAGCCAGGAAAAGAAAAGCTTTTCTATTTAACTTTTGAGAAAAAGATTTGAAGGTAGGAGATAGGACCATTAGGTTTAGTCCCAGCTCAACTGCTAACTATGATTTTGGATAAATTACTTATTCTCTGGACACTTCAATTTACCAAATCCTGGCCATTTACCAACTGTGTGACTTTAACTTCTGGACATCAACTTCTCTATCTTAAAAGTAGAATTGGCGATAGTGGTACCTCATAGGGTTCTTGTGAGGAATTAGTATGTATTAGGTGTTCAAAACAGCTTCTGGCACATCAGTAGCAGAGGCATAAATTTTTGCAATGAGTGGATAAGATTATGTGATTGCAGGAGTCTCAGCTAACAAAAATATCTGTGATCTAACATTTTCTGATACGGACATTAGTCTTTTTTCAGAAGAAGGAGTTGGCAGCTTTGGCCATTTACTTGAGTCCTGCACTGAGGCTCATTTTGGTACTGCCGAAGAAAGTTATTTTGAATTAAGTATGTGTCGTAAGTTCTCTATTGCTACATGTATTAGTTTGTTAGGGCTGCCATGACAAATTGCCACAAACTGGTGCCTTTTAAACAACAGAAATTTATTGTCGTACAGTCTGGCGGCCAGAAGTCTGAGATCAAGGTGTCAGCAGGATTGGTTTCCTTCTAAGGGCTGTGAGGGAAGGGTCTGTTCCAGGCCTCTCTCCTTGGCCTGTGATGGCCATCTTTTCTCTGTGTCTTTTCACAGTATCTTCCCTCTATGTGTGTCTGTCTCTGTGTCTAAATTTCCCCTTTTTATAAGGATACCAGTCATACCAGTAAGGGCCCACCCTAATGACCTCAGTTTAACTTGATGACGTCTGTAAAGATCCTGTCTCCAAATAAGACCACATTCTGAGGTACTGGGGATTGGGGCTTCAACATATAAATTTTGAGGGCGACGCAATTCATCTTGTAGCACTACTTAACAATTTACCCCCAAACTTAGTGATTTAAGATAACACATGTTACCTTACAGTTTTCATTAGCTGGGTCCTCTGGCTCAGGGTCTCTCACAAAGCTGCATTCGGCGTGTCCACCAGGGTTTCAGTCTCATCTGAAAGTCCTCGGGGAGGATCTGCCTCCAGTTCACTCACGTGGTTCTTGGCAGCATTTGGTTCCTCATTGCTTGTTGGGCCGAAGACCCCACTTCCTCATGTTGGCTGTTTGCCAGTAGCCTACCTTATTTCTTTGCCATGTGACCCTTTTGTCTTTGTAATACAATCTCAGTAGTGGCGTTCCATCACTTTTTCCCTATTCTTTTCAATAGGAGTGAGTCACTAAGTCTGGCCCACATCAAGGAGAGAGGATTACACAAGGGTGTGTGTACCAGGAGGTAGAGTCATTGGGAGCCATCTTTGAAGCTCCCTACAATAGTACAGTCATGTGTCTCTTAATGATGGGGAGATGTTCAGAGAAATGCATCATTAGGTGATTTCTTCGTTGTGCAGACATCATAAAGTGTACTTAGACACACCTAGATCATATAGCCTCCTACGCAACTAGGCTACATGATATGGGACCACCGTTGTAATTCCGGTCCATTGTTGACTGAAACATCATTATGAAGTACATGACTGTATGTAAGAATGAAAGGAAGAAGAAATTACGTTAAGTGGAAAAATACATAAATTATTTAATATTACTCAGAAGACTTTAGTCTTAAACTTTAAATAGAAGTTTATCACTCTTGTGCCATATAGCTTTGTAATCAGAAAGTACCCTTACAAAAAAAGGAGAAATGTAACTTTTAGCTCCATTTCCTTTTTTTTTTTTTTTAAGCAAAACAGAGTTTGTTTTGTTTACTTTCATTAAATCAGTTATTTTTCGGTCCTATGTAGAATTCAAGTAGTACCTGACTTTTCAACTCCACTTTGCTGAGTTATTAACCTGCTATTTCTCATATAATATTCAAAGGCCTAACTTCATTTCCCTAAAAAAATTTAAGAGTAAGAGGTCATAGGTTATTAAGAATACTTTAATTTTATCAACTTTTCTGTGGTCATTTTCTACTACTAAGTTATTATAAAGTGTTAGAAATTATCAGACATTTGTGAGGATATTTAATACACCAACTTGGCTGAGAGAAATGGCCAATTACAGTTACTTCTGCAGAATGTAGTGATAGAATCATATACTGTATCCACCAGCTGGCAATTCTCAATATGCATATTGTATACATACACACAGTATACATTGATGGAGAAGTACTTGGAAAGTATTCTTATGGGTTCATTTTTGTAGTCTTTGTTTTGGAAGGCAGTATAGTTGTGTTTCTGGAATCAAGATTTAACGTCCCTGACATTATCTGTATGAGTTAGTTATTCTAATGTGGGGGTGTATGTGTGTAGAACATGGAGTAACATTTCTCAGTAAATTTAATCTAAGAAAATCTCAAATTCACTGAGAAAAGATTGTTTTAAACAACTCCATTAGAATAAATTGAACATATACTTCTAAAGCATCTGATTACATGACTGAATTTTATAAGGGATTGTTGAATTATAATTATTTGTGAATTACTGTAACTATAGATCATACATTTTAGTAGACAGTGAACACCTCATTGTTAGAAATGATGAACTTATTTTTAACTCTCACTAGGTTTGGAA